GCCTTCCGCCACTCGGCCATTGTTTCGCCGTGGAAGATGAGAATGTGGAAGAATGTGTCGAGCAATAGCACCGTCTCGTTTTGGATGGAGCTAGAATCGAGCAGAACAGGCTGGCCGCCTTCGTGGTCGAAGCCGTAGCTGTCGAGTGTCGGCTGAATCATGATGAGGGAGTTGCTAACATCCTCGTGGTTCAAGACGTGACGATAGAAGGCGGTTTCGTCGGGCGAGTTGTTGAAGACTTGCAGGAACTGCGACCGACGAAGATGAAACATGAATTGCGGGTATAATGTGAAGTTCTTCTCGAGCCTGGTCTAGTAGTTAGTATTTGATATTGAAGCGAGAACTATATGTCCAAAGTGATGAATGACTTACCTGAATGACGACGGGTCATCTTTCCTGTACTCGGCGAAGCGAGCGCATAGTCGGATAAGCATGCGATCGACCCATCGAAGAACGTCAGGGCCATCGTCAACCTCAGCCTTGAAGACTGCTATCCTCGACATAAGGACAGCAGCAGCTTCTTGGTCAAAGGACTGAGCGATGGCAGGGTCGCCAGATGGACCGCTCATGGGTCGGGCCACGGTAGTAACTGTGAAGGTTTAGTATGCGTGCTTAGCTTAGACACATTTCATGGAGTTCATACCTCTCAAGTGATACTGGCCAGCGGAGTGCTGATAGTATGTGAGGAACTGAATGAGAGCCTGTTGCTGCGTAGAGGTCACGTTGGACCCGCCTTGGTTGGCAATCTCGAAATAGATCGAGTATGAGGCTTCAGGGTCGATACCGCACATTTTCCAGGCGCACGTGTTTCCAATACCGCATTCCGTCTCACCAACAGAGACTGACTTCTTGTTCTGCGACACAGCGTGTCCAATAAGACCAGTGATCTTCAACTCCCTGGTTGTCAGCACCTCAAACTCGGCATTGAATCCCATAAGGAGGTTGTCGTCCGCATCCTTGTTGAAAACGCGCACGAAAGATTGCTTGTACATGGACGAGGTGAAGCTATCCGTCAGAATCATGTGTCCACCAGTGTTGTTTGCAAGGCCCCTCATCTCAAGGAGACCGACCTGATCCAAACATCCGGCAAAGATGTCAACAATATGGCCGTTGTGGGAAATGCGCTTCGCAAGGCCCTCGTAAAACTTCAGTGCCTTCTTGTAGTACTTGATGTTGTCGCGGTCGATGTCGTGGTGCGATCGGATGGGCTCGCGCAGCTCCGGGCCAACAACCATACCAGGTCCCTCGGTGGCTGGACCACCGCTAAACAACATGATACGGGCGGCACTGTTCATGAAGCTCGTCTCCAGGAGTCCAGCAGCGACGCTGAGCGCCACACCGGTGCACCTCAAGGGACGCTTGTCGTTCGCGACCGGCCAGGGGTCCCGTTGGATTGATTCGAGAGCGTTGGTCAACTGCAATTCGCACTGCGATACGGGTAGGATGAAGCGCGTGCCAACGCCACCTGGAGCGCCCATAGGTGGTCGTCCAGGCTGCTGTGGGACACCGGGTCGAGGAGCCATCTGGCTAAGGCCCAGCATCTCGTGCACTTGCTTGGTGGAGTAGTCCTTGCTTCCGCGGAAGACGTACGACTTGGCGCATTCGGTGTAGCCCAGCTCGTGTACTTGTGTCTATGGCTGTCAGCTTATAACACTCATTGTGGCTTCCTGTACCTACCATTGTACCGTAAGTGACCAGACCAACCAGCGCGTATGCTGGGAGCAGGCTCAAAGCCATGATGATCGAGTCCTTCAGCGCCTTCAAGCTGTCTTCCTCTTGACATGTGTCTACCACGAAAATGAAGATGGGTGGGCTCGGTATGGGTCGGGGAAGGCGGTATTCGATCGTGGTACTGTTCGGGTGCATCTCTGGGGGCATCTGCTGGTTGGAGATATCCTTGTAGTGCGGGGGGAGGTGATTGCGGTTCAAGCAGAAGGGGCATATCCATTGGTTGGCGCGCATGTCAATTTGACTGCCTCAATGTCAGTATGAGATAAGTTGCAAGAGACTATGCCAGGCATACCAGTAGGGGTTGAGGATAGCTTTGCATGGCGCCCTGCAGCTGACAGGCTCATACTGGAGCAGCGGCGTGTCTGTCTTCTCCTTGAGAGGCGTGTAGTGTGCACCAATGGGAACGACTAGGCGGGAAGCTTCCTGTGAACCATATCAGTGTCTTGCATCCCTCGCGCCGGCGGTATCTATCGTACCATGCGCGTGCTGGGAAACGTGTTCCAGCTGAGACGGACGCCATCCCTGTCTTCAATGTCGCTCCACTGGTCCTTGAGCGCCTCGAAGTCGGCCATGCTGGGCGGTTGCAGCTATCTGGGCTGCGCAAGGAGGTCTGGGGTGGGTGAGGGTTGTCGAAGGTTGGTGGTGGAGGGACCGAGGGCGCCCACGATGGGAGATTTGGCGGGGCGGTGTGAATGTAGCAGGCGCGAGACGGGGAGCTGTAGTGGTATGCAGCAGAAGATACCGAGACGTGTCAAGTGTTCCTCCCGCAAGGCAACAACTGCACAGGATAATGCAACGTCGTAGGAAGCTCACGCACTTGAACTTGCGTGGATACCTCAGTTGGCGATGCGGCCAGATGTTCTTGCCCTAGCGCTCCCAATCCGGCCTAGCATCACCGAAGCTCCGCTCCGCCCCAGCCTCAAAACCGCCATTTTCCTCGCTGTCGTCCTTTTTCCTCTTCATCACCGCCAGCAACAAATACACTACGTAACGGCAGGCTCCCATTTCTCTGATGAATGAGCCTGTTTTCGCGCTGCGCGAAGAAGAGATTTAGACCCATGGCTGGGCGCCCGATCTGGAAAACTCATTCTGAGTATACTGATAGGTTGGGAATCAGCAGAGGTCACATTCATCATCGTGCAGTGCTTGTAATAGCAGAATCCCATGGACCTTCCATCTGGACTAGAAGGAAGCCTTAAAGGCAGGCATCTTTCAATCCGCATTATAACACAACGTGTTCTTTGTACCGTACCTATTGTTGACCATGATCCAGAGTCTTGCTAAAAGTAACGTCAACTCGATCACTGTAGCCTTCAGGCAATCATACTTGTCACTTCCGATGTTTAGACCCGTCCCTCTCTCTAGAGAGCCTACGCTTGTTAGCAGCCAGACGATATGATGACATCTAAGGGCTTCCCCTGTCGACGACGCCTTTGTACAGCAAATCCATGTCCTCACGCGGGTGCAAAAGCCCCAAACACTACGTTTCTGGCCAAGCGATTCGTTGCGAGGCGGGCGTGGTCGTCTTGATCCTGTCAGAAGCATCCCATGGATATGGAACATTTGGCCTTCATGTAGCATATACTACCACACACCCGTCGACCACGATCTTCCAACGCAGTCTATGGATCCAATTACACATTGCCGGAGACACTTCCGATGTTCCCGCTGGAGCCTCCAGATCTGCAGCTGTGTTTGGACGTTACCGAACTCCTGATATATTAACAATCTGAGTCCGATCGGGTAAATGCATCGCAATACACTAGCCCCATCACCTGCCAGCGTACTGTACGACGGATTAGAATTTGGGTATATATGTATTTACAATGTTTGTAGCAACTCTGACTTGAACCTCCCCTGTATTCTCCAGATCTAGTCAATGCTACAGTACATCATCATGGCTCGCACTTCCGCACTTCTCATCTCGCTTCTTGCAGGTCAAGCCTGCGCTCACACTTTCATCTGGGTATGCTCAGCCATTCTCAACTCCCCTGTGCCTACACTAACACCCCCAGGGCGTCTTCGTCAACGGCATAGACCAAGGAACCTTCAAAGGCGTCCGCATCCCCGCCTACAACGGCCAAAATGGTAAAGGCGGCTACAACAACTCGCCCGTCAAAGACCTCAACTCCATCGACATGCGCTGCAACGTCATGGGCGACATCCAAGCCCACGATACCATCAAAGTACAGCCCGGCGACAACCTGACCTTCGACTGGCACCACGAGAACCGCAACAACAAAGACGAAGTCATCGCCAACTCGCACCATGGCCCCTCGCTTATCTATATCTCGCCCGACCCGCCAACGGAGAACTCTTTCGTCAAGATTTGGCATGAGGGGAAATTCGAAAGTAATCCGTTTCCGCAGGCGGGCAAGTGGAGTACCACTGGTGATATTGCGATGAACCACGGTCATATGAACGTTAGAGTGCCGGAGGGGCTGAAGGCGGGACACTACATCATCCGTGCTGAGATGGTTGGTCTGCACGAGGGCGATGTGAACTATCTCGCGAACCCGAAGAGAGGCGCACAGTTCTACCCCGACTGTGTTCAGATCGAGGTTGAAGGCGATGGCGAGGTTGAGTTGCCTGAGGGTGTGAGCTTCCCTGGAGCGTACTCTTATGAGGACCCTGGTGTTGTGCACAACGTGAGTCTCGCCTTCCTAAGTACTGGGGCTTAGCTCGCTCACTGACATGACGCAGGTATACTGCTCCACCGAGACCAAGAAGCCAAAGACCTCAACCACCCCCTGCGTCACCGACTACGTCATTCCAGGTCCTACCGTATGGTCTGGTGCCTGGGCTGAGACTACCGCTGTCCCAGTCGGACCGGTCGACGGTGTCACAACGGCGACTGCGTGGAGTACATGGATTGGTACCGATAGTGTCGTAACCAGTGCGACATTTGCGGATGTGAAGAGTCAGACGATCGTCGGAAGCTCAAAGTACACTGCGAGTTGGAGCGACACGTATGCTACGCCTACTGCGACGGCTGCACGCTGGTAAATTGGGGTCGGGAGAATATTTGCAATAGCTCGACGCAAATAATAATGCATTCATGTCACTAGTAGTCGTTTGCAGTCATTCTTCTGAAATTTTTCCATCTCGTGCTCTTTTGAAGAGTCCTCCAGCCAATTTTCCTCGATGTGCTTTTCACCAATACCTTGTCTCTTCCCAGACACCAGATCGCAATTCAAAAATCATTCCCATACACAGCGCCACATGAAACCTAGGTCTCAGCCTGATCATCTAGCCGATAGCCATATCGCTCAGTCATCGAGGACTATGACTTCAGGCTTGCGCTTCTTTGCCTGTCCGCGCGCAGCGCCGTCGTCGACCGGCTCGCGCTTGATAGGCGTACGCTCCGTCTCATCATTCTGTCTTGTGTTAAACCAACTGGAAACTCAATTCTCAGATCACTTACTCGATAAGATCCGAGTAGGATAGCCAGTTCCTTCTCCGGAAGACTTTCCAAACCCTCGCTGCTACCGCGATAATGCTTGATGAGGATGAGCATGTCTTTCTTGGTGAGCTTGGACTGGTCGTGGTGAGTACGGATGTTGGGACTTCGCTGCAGTGGAGCTGGAGTGGCACTAGTACTGGCGCTCTTGGGTCGTGGGGTAGCAGAAGATGATCTGGCACTTGAAGGAACATTCGGAATCGACTCGGGTAGTTCTTCCTTCTTGATCAACTCTGGCTGTGGAACTGGGGGTGGACTCGGTGAGCGCGGTATCATGCCCAGAGATTTCAGTGCAGCTGTTCTCTGTGAGTCTTACGATCTTGTGATTCTGTGGATGACTTACCGATAGAGCGATATTTGAACTGGAATGTGACTAGCGGCTCCTTAGCTGACTGCGCAGTGTATCTGACAGGGGTCTCCAAGGCTCTGTCTGGCGCAAGTCTCATATTTCGTCAGTATGTCTTTGTCAATGCTAGAGTAGATAATGACCTTGTTGTATGGGATCGTACGTCGCCCTTGACAGCTTCTTCAGACACAATTCCAGCATCCCTCAGTGTGGTCTTCATTCCCCTTGGCCTTGACTTTATCCGAAAGCTCAGAACCTCAGCAAGGGTGACAGATATAATGCCCACTGAACAAAGGGTCTCCGGAATTTCTTTGGTCAGTGTTCCGTCGGTATCTTCAACTTCAAAGCGGATCAGTAAATGGTTGCAGTTGATAGCTGAAACTGAAGTTGACGCACCGACACTAAGGTCCGAGAAAAGGAATTTAGAGGCCCGCCACTTGGTACCATCCCTCCATTCGGTTTTGTCTAAAGTGTAGGTCGATTTTAGCATCCCATGCTTCTTTGCAAGCATCCCATGCACCCATGTTCCATTAATACTATAGTGAATCACTGTGTCCACTGGATTGAAGGGCGACCTGAAATTTGTCTTTATCGCAAATTCCGCACCAGACCGGCACTCGACGTATTGTGTGGTTGTCTTAGGCACATCTTTCTCTTCCGGGTTCTTGTATTCCTCAAGTGGTCTGCCGTCGACGAATATCTCAACCGTCAGGCCGGGGTAGTCGGCATGGATCGCCATGCTGACGTCGTAAATTGCGGCGGGCGACGGTGGGGATAGTGGGAATTAGATGGAAGGAGAGATGGACGATGGATATATGTATGAAGCCAACTGTACGCTAGCGTGTAGCGAGACCCAGGTAAAGGCGGTATGGTATCCCGCTTGGGTCTGATGTGAGTGGGTATACCCAAGAGGGTGAGACATATTACGCATGCATTGCGACTACAGGTACACTGCGCTAGATTTAGGGACAAGTGATGATGGAAAATGAATACGATAATCTCACCATCTACAGTAGAGAGTCACTATTGCGAAGGACATAGCGCTCAACCAGTGTTGAAGGTGAGTGTATGAGCATCTTTATCCTTCACCAGGTCTCATCATATCCCTATCGCATCAGCTCCCATCGATGAAAGCCATCAAGCACAAACTTTTGCACGGCTAAAACACGCTCCTAGTCCAGCACGATAATCTCTCCATCTGCATCACGGTGACGCTTCCGGTTTCCAGTCCAAATGACCATTACCCCCTGGTCATCGCTCGCCTCGATAGCTTCATCGACTCGCTTGCGCTTGACACCGGCTTCTTCCTTGATCTTGACCGAAGCTGTATTGCGATCCTGCCATAGTGAGTACGTGATAGTATGATACTTTGCTGACAATATACCTTGAGCTGCTTGACGAGTTGGCGTAGTTCTTCCGGAGTGAGCTCATCTTCGGGTCGCTCTTCCAGAGGCGGAGGGGTAGGCTCGCGTGGGACAAGCCCCAGGATTCGGAGAGCATCTTCACGGATCAGCTGGTGGCACGACGTCGCGACATTACTTCGACTTACTCAAGGACCGGTATTTGAAATTAAAGGTAGCGAATGGAGACTTCGTTACGCGATCGTAATCCCACCAAGTTTGGTATGTGCGGGCGATGGGCTTAGATACACTGTGAAATTAGCATTGTCTTCATAAAGCGTGATTGAACGTACCCGGCTCGATGTGTGTGAGTGTAGCCTTTCATCGCCTTCTCGGAAATTTGAATCGATGCTGGAGTAGTCTCGACGACGTGATTCGGCACGCTGTACCGGAGATTCCGTATATACCTCAAGCTGACAGAAATGGCGCCAGTCGGAGTCAAGTCAGGGAGGGGTGTATTACCTTCAACTTCCGATCGTCAGCTCAGCTTTGACATATTCAACATCTATTGGCGTATCATAAGCTTCCCATCCACCGTGAACCTACTTATTTCCAGCTTGGCGAAGAAGAACTTCTGTGTCTTTGGGTATTGACCAACTTGAGAGTGACGTCCGTCCATCAAATGGTCGTTGAAGAATTGATCTTCTCTGATAAGCTCACACATAAACACTCGCCCATCGAGACTGATCTCGGCTTCTAGATGACCCTTTGGGAAAGGAAACTCCTCCATGAGCAAGACTTCGATCGTAAAGTTAGCCCCAGAGGTCGCCTCGACATATTTGGTGATCATCGTCGGCGAAGCGGGGGTGTCGCTATTGTCATCGTACTCAGGCAGTGAAGCGCCGTTGACGACGATCTCGACGGCAAGGCCGGGCAAGAAGGGAAGAACAGCCATGGTGCAAGAGGACCTTTGGAAGCAAGTCGTGTTACTGGTGGGAAAAAAGAAGGAAGCGAGGTCTCAAGATTAGAATGCTGGAAATCGTTAGATACCGCCCACTAACTAGGCGTAGTGATAGAAGCGAGCTAGGCGTGAATGAAGTTAGTATATGGTGTTGGAGAAGGTGAAGGCAGCTATTATATTAACAGGTCCTAGCGTGTTGTGAATATATGAGCGGCGACTAAACTTCCCGAGTGGCTATCTCTAACTATTACTAGACATGTAGAAATATACAGTCTCTCATGGCTAATTAGACGTGCATGCCTCTAAAGGTGGTTCCATGCATCAACACTTCGGCAGTATACTTCCATGCGTAAACTTGGAGTTGGCCCAGGGTTTGAAGTTCGCTCCCACTTCGAAGTAGACGAACTTTCGGCGTTTTGACACCACCTTAGGCTCAGCGCCGTCAAGACCGAACAGATATCCTCTATCAGTCTATCACAATAATTTCTTGCTCCACATGCGGACGTTTGCGTTGTCGCGTCTCGAGATAGGTCACCTCATCACCGTCGTTGGTGGTCCTCTCGCGCTTGACTCTGATAGTAGCTCCGGCTTCTTGCTTTATAGAAGCGCTTTCTGATTCTCGCTGCAGATATTTGTAAGTTTCAAATTCAGCGAGTTAACGCGCATACATACTCTCCGTACGCGCCGTAGCAGCTCTCTCAGCTCGGCAGGTGTAAGGTCTTCCTCGGGCCTTTCTTCCAGAGGAACGGGGGCAGGGTTGTCGACTGTAACAAGCCGAAGTGCTCTTAAGCTCGCTGAAAAGACCTTCGTATCAGTGATTGTCACAGCGTGAACGTAGTTTTCGACTCACCAAGTGATCGGTATTTGAAGTGGAACGTTGCGAATGGCTCTTTGTCTAGGTAATCGTAGTCTCCGTAGCGAGGTGTTGAGTACCTCGAGCACTTTTCAGGTTTTGACAGACTTCAAATGGGTTAGTTCTTTCCTTTCTGACAGTTCCACTCGCTCTCGACGTACACTATCTGGTGCGATAGCGCGTCACCCTTGAGCGCCTTCTCAGGGATTTCCTCCAGAGCTGCAAGCTGGACCTGCGCAGAGAAAGATTTCTCTTCAATTTCTCGGTAACTCTTGATGAGCTGGAAGGATAAAGTGATACACCCTGTAGTACTGAGGCTTTGCTTCAGCGCAGCAACATCAGGGACAGATCCACGAGCCTCTTCGACTATGTGAATGCATCAGCTCACGACAGGACATGACGTTCATACTACTTACCAATGTTCAGCTTAGCAAAAGAGAACTTTTGCTTGACCGGTTGTCCACCTTCTTGCCAACGAATAGAGGTCCTCTCGAACGGTTTTCTAAGAAGGTCCTCTCGTAGCCAGAACCACGAGGCCATCTTGACTCCGTCAATCGATAGCCGCCCCCTAACATGGTACTGAGTCGAAAAAGAGGCACTGAATTTAGTTACGATCGAGAAGTTGCTATCTGAGCGCGCCTCGATGTACTTCGTGGTCGCCTTCGGTGCCGGATCCTCATCGTCGTCGTCATACTCATGCAACGGCTGACCATCAACGTTGATCGTGACTTCCAAGCCGGGATACCCAGGAGCGATAGCCATTTTACTCCGCTTTTGGGTAGGTTAGCTAGATGCGGTGTCGGACCCGCGGCGACCTAGAGCGCCAGAATGAAGATGCGCTAAGCGTAGAGCATGTGAGGAAGCGTTGCTTTGGGATGTAAGACCACTACCTCGCCTTCGAGTGTAGTGGGTGAATGCGATTGATTCGCGATAGCGGGGTCGTAGTAGGAATTGGAGTGGAAGGAGGTGCCCAAGGCCCGATGCTCGATGTTTGCTCTATGCCAAATATGGCAAGGCGCTCATGCTAGCGCGCCCTTGCGGCACTCTAAAGGACACAGCGTATGTAAGCAGGAGCGTCCGCTTCAGCATCCTTGACTCTTCCAGATTCGAAAGAAATAGTACACTCGCGGCTGATCAGAAGACGGTGGAGGATGTCGAGATCGCTGGCTATTGAAGTGCCATCGTGCGCATTCACTGAGGCGGAAGTATGGACTCGCCTCGCGTACAGCATGCCAGCAATGCAAGTCCCGAGAAGTTGAAAGTGGTAAAGCGAGGCATGCTCAGCTTTCGAGATGGTGTGAATCAGAACTCATCCCATACGATGGGCGCATCTCCTCTGTGATGAAGATGGCGAAGATAGCAACCAGGAATGAAGCATCGTGGCATTCGCGTCGAGTCAACTGCTACGCAATCGTGTTATAACCTGGAATGCATTAAGCTCGCAGGTGTAGCTAGCAAGACAGCGACTGACCACGTAGCATTTGGGTTTTGGAATACTTACCTAGGCTGGTAATGGACTGTGTGAAGCACCAGGAAATGATGTTGCCAGGAATGAAGAGGATCCGTACGATGTTGACCGCATAGGTAAGGATATTGGTAAAGACCCCGCTCTCAATGTCTTTGATATGTCTGATTATCTACACAGGTAGATTTTCAGCACGAAGCTAGTCGTTTACAATCAGTGCTGATATCAACCGAAAAATTTGTAGCCTTGCAAGAGACACGTCTGCTTCCCACTCGCAAATCAAGATATTCATGTGGCCTTGGAAGATCCAGGTCGTAACTATAGAGATGGCAATAAGTTTGATCAGGGGAGAAGGAGTATAGAGTGCGGGGTCATTAAAGCAGCCGCACTAGATGAATGATATGCACGACAGATCATCCAACTCTGAACATCACATGTATGCAAAAGCTCTCTATACCTGAGAACTCTCCACATGCTTGCGAAGACCAAGATCGCTGCTAAGGCATCAACAACATTAACGCTAATGCCCATGTACACGTGGAATGCAGTTCTACGGTACATTTTCGCCGATAGTCATCCAGCATACCTAGGCAACCTTACATACAGCCCAAAAGCTTACACCTCCATCAAGGATCAAGGCTTGCGAGGCTGACATGCAGGTGGCCAAAGCCTACGCGGCCCCAAACGAGCAGCGCTGACAGTGTCGCCATGTGGAGACACACTACTGATCGCAGATTAGCGAGAGAACAAGATCTGAGAAAGCGCAACCCACAGACAGAGGGCTTAGCGCACGAACACCCGTATTGAGACCCGCGTTGAGCGTACCGTTACCTGATACATCGTAAGCTAGCTTGCTTACCATCATCAGCCTCGCAAGAGGCTCGTAACGTGGACTAGCTGCCTGCACCCGGCTATTTTGCGCCGATGGTGTATAGGATTCTCGTATGCAGTGCGTATGGGTTTACTTCGGAGCAACGACGGACCTTCAACCGACTGCGACAAAGATTCATGATCTGTCAGCGCTGAGTAACGCATGAATAATTTGCAAAGGGTCGCGTGCAATCCGGAGATAACGCAACTCCGCGCGTATTCGCGCTTAAAGTGTGTCTCGGCGTAAAGTCGCTCTATGGTACGACCGAGGTGATGCCACCGGTTAACGAAAGAGGAAGCAGGAATGCTTTTGCAGTGTTGAGGGCCAACAGATTGCGGAGAATGCAGTCAGCGCAGAGGGTGTGGTGAGATTTGACTCGGCAGATCTCCGAACTCGACCGACCGAACGACCGGATGAACTCCGCATCGCGGTATTGGTGTCGCAGGATCCGCTAGATCAGGTCGCATCTCCAGTGACAAAGAAGCAATTATCTTGGTGATGCATCAGTCAGGAGAGCGGTTGTGACTGAGTGCATGACGGATGACGTTGCAAACCAGGTCCCGAATGCCATGAGGCACAAAACCGGAAACGGTCGACGCCCTGTTACATTTCCAAGCCTCACGAACCCCAAAAGAACCGTTGGGTGGAAGAACATCGGAAGGCGCTTGCCCTGCATATGCGAGCAGGACTTGTAAAATTCTTATCCCGGCAGATGGAGAACAGATAAGAGCATAGGAATAGATATCCCTGAGCGAGCGTTGCTATGCTATCCATACGTACTTGAAGATGTATAGTGACCGTTGCATCGAATATGTCACAGCTGCGTTGTGAGTGGAGAAGTCACAAACACGCGACTATCAGGCCTCAGGCGTCATGATCGGCAGTCATGCTTCCTGTCATAGCAGGTGGACCGGCAGAAACTTTGTCGAAAACAAGCAGACGCAGGGTCTCATCATCCCGCGCTCGCGGATTGGCGGGCACAAGGGCTAGGGATGGTGCCCGCTCAGCCGTTGGCGATCGATGACCACATCGGGCGAGCTTCGAGAAGTGATGGGCAGTTTCAATGACCAGCAGGTTGTCGACTAAGACGTCAGGGAAAGGATATTCATTGGGGACATATTGCTTCGCAAAAATAGAAGCGCAAAGCAGGAGTTCTGCACGGCAGTCGTTTGGGATGGATGGTGAGGGAAGGGATGGTGAGGAGATTTCGGAGAGATGATGTCATGGACCCTCGTAAGCGATGAAATAGCATTCGTTCGGTCCGACGGAGATGGACGCAATACGAAAGCGACTGCAAGGACACAGTATATTCCCCATGGCATGAGAATGCAAAATATGAAAGAAGTACTCGGGTTGTGGCATAGAAGGATACAGAAGCCTCGGGTGGCAGGGCGCCGGCTTAGAAATGTGGCTAGTAACTTCGACGCGCGAATGAACGGTCCAGATCGCCTCGCGGCCGCCGGAACAGTTACATTGTCCGTGCATACGATAGGGCTGCACTGCCACATGGTGATGCGATGGACCCTGCATTTGTGTCCTTCTCCACCGATCTTACCCGTTCGAGGCCGTCGATGCGATGCCACGTTGGTTTTAGGGCTGCATTGCAACTCCACAGGATGCTTGCAGCACGTTGCATGTGCCGTTTATTCAGCAGGGAGAGTCTCAGTGAAGAGTTTTCCTTGTGCAACCTTGGCTGTGCTCGACCTGTGGCTGTCGGGATGTTGCACGGCAGTGCCGTTGTTGAGCAGAGGATGCTGCCAGTGCCGAAGCGGAAGTGGAGGTTCCACCTGCAGGATAGACGGTAT